GACAAGGCGAAACAATTGCAGTGCTCTGGGTTTTCATGACATTGAGCTCTTCAATCTGGCACTCCTTGCTAGGCAAACATGGAGAATATTAACAGACCCTAACTCACTAAGTGCAACATTTCTTAGATCGAGATACTTCCTGTCTTGTGATTTTTTGCAGGACAGCTTGTGGAATTCACATTCTCAAATTTGGAGGTATGTTCTGGAGGGCCAAGATACGCTAGTACAGGGCATTATATATGAGTGGGTGTTGGAGACACGATACGCATAACCGACGTTGATCCAATTCTATCAATCGTACTTTCCACCAAGCAAATTGATGACTTCTGAGCATGGGTGCATGAAAGGAACGGAATTTTCTCCGTCCGCTCGGCATATCATATGCTAGTGAACGCAAAGCTCCACCGTGAGGCATGGCTAGACAGACGGACGGATACTTCAAACTCAGAGTCCGAACAATAGCTTTTGGACAAACATATGGAACGTGGATGTGTTATCAAAGACAATATTTTAAATAGCACGCTATTTTGCTGTTATAACACGGTTATAGCATATTTGGAAAAGAGACGTTACGTTTTGGCAAAATCGGACGCTATGGCACTAATCGCGTAATTAGCACGCTACACACGCTATAACGTTGTAACATTGTAATGTTACAACATGCAGACCATGCAAAACTGAAATAAGCACAGCCCAGCAGGACCAGCAGGCCAAAACCAACCCACGACCACTAGCTTTCTCACTCCTTTTATCAAATTCTCCCACTAGCTTTCTCACTCCTTTTATCAGATGCATATATTGCTTGCTCCTATGAAAAATTTAGTTGCTTAAATACTTTATTTCTAGATATATTTGATTTTTTTGCAAACGCTATTTTGAAATATAGCACGCTATTAGCGCGCTATAACTTGTGTAGCATTTACAGAAGGGCCTCGCTATATTTTGTAGCGCGCTATTTAAAATATTGATCAAAGATCAAAGTTGTTCTTTGGAGACTTGCACGTCAGCCATTGCCAACACCACCGGAACATGTCAACTATTACAACTTGCGGCTTCTGTGGTGCAGATGATTCCTGGCAACATTCACTTAATTATAGATTGCAACATGTGTGTGGAAGTGGTGGAAAATACCAGGGAACCTGATGCCAAGAGATGGATCTTCTCTATTCAGAAATCCCTCCCACATGACGATTTTGTCAAGGTGCCAATCACCCTCTGGGCGATTTGGCGTGCCCGACGTAATGCACTGCATGAGCAGGAATTCCAAGGGCCTTTTGCTACGTATAATTTTGTGAACAAGTACATTGGAGGGCTGGGTGAATGCAAACAAAAGAAGTAGCCGACGGTGCTAGTACGTACCCCCAGGGCGAGATCAAAGTGGATTCCGCCAGCTCCATGGCTCGCCAAAATTAGGGTGGACGGCGCCGTCTCTAAAGAAGCAAACAAGGGCACCTACAACGCCGTGTGTCGCGACGCTTCGGCCACTATCTTGGAGCCTTGGTTATCACACTAGTAGAAAACATGACTTTGGTTCGGGCATGGCAAGCCCATTAGTCCCGGTTCAGTCATGAACTGGGACCCATCGAGGCATTCGTTCCGGTTCGTGAGCCCAGGGGACCGGCCGGGGCCTCGTGGACATTGGTCCCGGTTCGTATGGACCCATTTGTCCCGGTTCGAGGCACGAACCGGGACCAATGGGCCCACTGGCGGAGCGTAGTGGAGATCAAACTGGGCTACGACCCTCCCCCTTTCCAAAGTGAATTTTTTTTACTAGGTATGCTTGCGATCTGGCCCAGCCCATCAGGAGATATGTCCACTGTCCAGAAGCAGCAGCCCATTTGCAGCACGGTTCGACAGCACAGATCGAGACACCAACGCCCCGTTGTTAGTCAACGAGTCGTTCCCCAAATCCCCAATCCCCACCCTGCTGCCTCCCTGCCTCCGCGTCCGGCGTCGTCGCGTCGGCGACCTAATTCCTTGACGATGGCGATCGGCGGCGGCAACTGACGACGTCAGTCGGCGGCGTTCCCCTTCTCAGTCGGCTGCTCAAGCGGCTGCACCCGCGAGCGGCGCGCCCAGCGGCCAGCGGCCACACGCCCATCGGCCCACACCCAGTTTGCCTACGTGCACAGCGGCTCCTCCTCCTCTGC